ATTTTTTATGATAACTGAACAAAAACAAAAAATCCAACATCCCATTTTTAAATGTTTTCACAGATGTTGGGACACCTTGTGACATTTTGAAATATGGTAAAACCGTAATAAACTTCCCCTTTCAGCAAAACTCACCTGTGAGAGGCTGCTGACAATTTGGTTTGTGAAACACGGTTGTGAAACAGCTTCCTGTGGTGTTTTTCTAACGGTGTTGGAGGTAAAAAGTACTCCAGAAAGGTGAAGTTCATAAAAAAGGGCAAAGACCTTAAGGCAGACAGACGTCAACTCAACAGTTTTAGTCCTCGCAGGTTTTGGATATGTGCCACTGATCCTGGATCAGACCAGAGACTGCAGGTAGCTCAATAAACAGAGTTTACATTCTCTTGCTAAAAAGATTTCAGACAACTTTAAAAACAGACAAGACTGAATAATGACAACACCAGTCAAACGAGTCAAAAATAATTATCCAAATACCAATGAGTCAACAACTGGTCCTCATTTGGATTCATGTTTCATTTGGACATTTGATCCCTCAGTGATAGTGGATGCAGCAGATGTTGAAACCACAAAGGAGGGAGCCGCAGCAGGAGATGCACCCACAGAGGATACAGTGGCAAGCAATGAACCAGAGATGGAGGGAGCTGTAGCAGACAACAAGGAACCAGTGAAGAGGAATGAAATGCAACTGATGATGAGACCACAGACAAGGGGTCCACCAGAGGATTGACACCCATCAGAGCCATAGTAGCTGCAGGACCAGAGGCAGAGTGGGGTTCACCGTCCCCGACACCCATGGAGAGGCATGAAGAAGTGGGTCATTGTCCCCGACACCCAACGAGTGGTGTGAAGGAGGTGGTTCAGCATCCCTTACACCCACAGAGACACAGGAAGGTGGACCTTTGTCCTCAAAACCCATGAAGATACATATAGAGATGCACCTGAAGACTCTGGAGAGTCAGCCTTGCTGGGCTGTTCAAGGAACTCAGGACGAACATGGGGGGCTGCTTCTTTGGTGGAGGAGGGTGCAGCTGCTGAGCCCAAATGAGTCAAAGACTGGTCCAAGTACCAACGAGTAAAATACTGGTCCAAGTACCAACGAATCAAAAGACTGGTCCAAATACCAACGAGTAAAATACTGGTCCAAGTACCAACGAGTCAAAAGACTGGTCCAAATACCAACGAGTCAAAAGACTGGTCTAAATACCGATGAGTCAAAATACTGGTTCAAATACTAATGAGTCAAAATACTGGTCCAAATACTAATGAATCAAAATACTGGTCCAAATACCACCGAGTCAAAGACTGGTCCAAGTACCAACGAATCAAAAGACTGGTCCAATACCAACGAGTCAAAGACTGGTCCAAGTACCAACGAATCAAAAGACTGGCCCAATACCAACGAGTCAAAGACTGGTCCAATACCAACGAGTCAAAGACTGGTCCAAGTACCAACGAGTCAAAATACTGGTCCAAATACCAACGAGTCAAAGACTGGTCCAAGTACGAATGAGTCAAAAGACTGGTCCAAATACCAAGGGTATTCAACAACCGAATTCGAGTCTCTGACCAAAGTTTCAGATCTTGTTTTTACTGAACCATAGTGTCTATGTGTTGTTCTGCAGTAGTGGTGTATGGGCTCTCCACATGGGAATGTTTGATACTAAAACACAGCAGATAATAGTGTGTTGAACTGTTGATGGTTAAGATGTGGCCTTTAGTCTTTCTGTTGAGCCAGGTAGTAACCTGCAATGTGCAACTGAACCCATTCCTCAGTGGATCGTCTTGTGCTGAAGGTGCTGGACACTGTCCAGGTGGTTGGACAGTTTCTCCAAGGTCCTCCTTGTTTTCCTCCCACAGTTAGTCCCCCTCTCACAAGCTGACTTTTGGTGGTTGGCACCAGCTCACTGTGACTCTGAACAAGAGTAATCATGAAAGATGAATGGATGGACAAAGTGAACTGATCAATAACCTGAGCTTGAAATCTTTCTGATCATTTCATCCAAAGAGGTTTATGTTTAACCTGAATGTACAGAATTACGAGAGCTGCTGTTTCTGTGAACTGAAGTTCTAGTGGAGCTTCAACATTTCCTCCTTTAGAACGTTGTCTATCTGACTGAAACGAACAAATCAAAGCTTCTCTGAGGCCTCGTTAACACAAACAGACACGAAGCATCAACTGTCACTCAGACTGTTCTCAGATCAGCATCTGAGCATTCATTTGCTGTTTGACTCCTACAGACTCTTTGGGGCTGCTTCCTCTGCTGTGCCTGATGTCACCGGATCAAAGCTCGTTATCGGCTGTCAGCAGAGCGCCCGAAACACAAGCAGGCCAGAAATCTGCTCTTAAAGGTCAGAAATCTGCTATTAAAGATCAAAAATCTGCTCTTTATGGTCAGAAATCTGCTCTTAAACATCAGAAATCTGCTCTTAAAGGCCAGAAATCTGCTCTTAAAGGTCATAAATCTGCTCTTTAAGGTCATAAATCTGCTCTTTAATGTCATAAATCTGCTCTTAAATGTCATAAATCTGCTCTTAAATGTCATAAATCTGCTCTTAAAGGCCAG